ATCTATCTATCTATCTATCTATCTATCTATCTATCTATCTATCTATCATGTTTTTCTTGGTAGCTGTTCTGATTATAAACGTTTACTTTGTCTTTTTCCATCAAATGTTGTTTGAGTGACATGAATGACCCCGACAGCTAAATGTGTTTGGCTCAAACACAACCTGTATCTCCTGGTTTAATCTGCTTTAAGATGATGAAAGCAGAGTCAGATTCATTTTGACTTCTTAACTTCAGCTTCAGGCCTGCATGTTTTTAAGGAGGAGCATGTGGGCCTTGACTGACACAACTCATAACTTTAGACATAACGGTCATTAACATATTTTAAAGTTGAGCTTTGTTTAAAGTTTAAGGACACTTATTATCATAATGGCTTATAGACTTTTATCTGCTTTGAAATCTGTCATTTTATTATTAAGTGCAAATGGCAGCAGCAGCTAGCGGTAGCTCCTCTGGTGCAGCCTGGGTCGCTTCAGGCAGGAGTCTCTTATCTGACAACATAACTGTAAGTCTAAATGTATGATGGTGTGGAGGTTTAAATAATGATGCATGCCTGAACCACTAGGACATTTTGAAGATTGGAGTTTGAAGATGGCAATAGTTGCTCTACAAGAGGCTGCTCAAACTAGCCGTCCACTCGTCAATACGAACTGATCGGATCTACTTCTAAAGTGGATTTTGTCTTAAAATATTCCAATCTTGACCAAATGCTGCACTGGAAGTGCTACAGCCATGTAAATAACTGTAATGTAAAATTGACACCAAGCCTTTGCATGAACCACTTAAATTATTTTATTTTTATCTATAAGGTGTTAGAACAAGTGTTGCGTGCACATGGTGAGCCTCTGATGTTGAGCTACATGGCCCTGACATGTATTTCAGCAGGCGTTGGTTTAATAGTGAGAAAAAAAGTGTGGCTTTTACCACGTCTTCTTTCTCTGTCTTAGTGCCACCATTTACAGATATTTAATATTATGCACTTTAAACAATAAAAAAGCCTTTTTTTGTCTTTAGTGTAAACTTTTATTCCCATTTCTTACCGGTACTGTTATCCTTTTTCTGCAAAATCATGCTTTTTCACCAATCAATAAACTTACTTCAGTCAAATAAATAAATAAATCTGCATAAATGAAAGGCTGCGTATTTCTTGAAGGATCTTTCCTGCTGCCTTTTATTTAAAAGTCATGTGATAAAATAAGAAAAGATAAGATAACACTTTTTAATTTCCAGCAGGGGCAATTTACATTAAGGCAGCAAGATTACGCAGAAAAGGCAGAAAAAAAAAATTATAAAGCAAATGAGACAAAGAGTTACATTAAAATAACAAAATGTTAAAATACAATTAATCTACATATGCAGTTAAACATAAATTATAGTAGTGTCCTTTTAGGAGGAAGATTTGGTCAGACTATGAAAGAAGCATTTTGCACAATCTAATGCAAAGCTGCAGCAGTGTGCTAGTGCTCAGAGTAGGTGTTGGCAAAGATTCTCAGCTGCTACCACATCAAATTTTAGCTTAAAAACCTTAACACTAAATGAGTCATAGCTCATTTTGGTAACTTTAAATGCATTACACGCTGTGGCTAATTAATATTTACCTTTTGTCATGATTTTTTGCTTAAAAATGACTTGCAGTGTAAAACAAATCAACAGTTTTAAATGACTTAGCGCTCTGCTGTTAACACTTGTTCAAGACAGCCATACAGGCTAATAACTCAACACCTTCGGCTTCTCTTAGACATTAATATATGTGTGCATGATGAACTCCTGCAACTCACTGAATAGTCCGTCATGATCTGCATGATTAAGGACACTTTGGTTGTCACGAATCCCCCTAGAAGCCACCCACAGCCTCGCTGAGCGTGTGTGTTCTCATATAAAGGTGAGCTATCGATTGGAAACTAAATTTATTTAACATCCAAGGCTTTTGCAATATTCCCCACGTTCAGCGTCAGCAGCTCACGGTGCAAAGCTTAGATGCGGCGACCCGTTTGTCAACATGCTGTGAGGGGCTGACCATTCAACCACTAAGCTCCTTCGAGTCAGTGTTTAAAGAGCGAATGACACTTTAGCTTCTTCTAACAACTTGCATTTCATGAGAAAATTCAACATAGTCAAAGTGAAAGTTAAGCTGCTAAAGATGCTGATCACTGGCGCTTTTGCACTCATTTAGATGCGTTCAATGTTTGGCAGTTTCAAAACGTGCCGTTTGCCCAGCAAGGCTGTGATATTCAACGTACACAGTACTCGTACAGAACATTCACTCATCGTTGTTGTCAGTCAGCGTCCATGTTCAGAAAACAGCGCAGGCCCGGCAGCCGTCCATTCAAACAGTTCAGTGGTTCGTCAACCTTTGTCCAGTGTGGCGCAGGGTAGGACGTGTTTGCGAAGAGGAAAAGCTGAATGAACAGGCCCGGCAGCAGCAACAACAACCTTGGCCTCTGGCTGCCTGTCTTCTGCCAAAGTAAACAGCCATCGAAGAACTTACAGTGTTATTTACGTGTTTTCCCCTCTCTTTTTACAACTTGTCCTGTTAAAACAAAACAATTCGAGCTGTTCTTAAACCTACAGATGCCCCTCGACAAACACGAGGTCCCAATATTATAACAGAACACAACATAACGCAATGAAGCCTGGGACTGACTGACCTGCTGTTCAGGGTGTACCCCCCCCCCCCCTCCACCCACGGCCCATCATCGGCTTACATCAGGGGTGTCCAAAGTGCGGTCCGAGGGCCATTTGCGGCCCTTGGAGTGATTTTGTGCGGCCCTCAACTGCAATTAAAGAGTGGTATCATTTCAACCTACAGGCTTTGATGCAGATGTAGACCTTCTTTAGATTTAATGGTGATACTTAAAAAAAATAATTTTTAGGTTCAAAGGCAAAACAGATGAAAATAATCTTCTCAAAATAAGCGATAGTAAGTACAATAGAAATATTTAGCTATATTTATTCCCTTTATCCTACAACAAACCTTCACTGACCTACTGAAAAGTAGAATTTTGGATAATAATTCATAAAACTTGGCTAAATATAAAAAGTGTTTTTGAAGAAAATAATTTCAGTGGATTAAAGAATCGATGGGGAGAAAGTGGATATTTTAAAAAGAATTTAAAGTGCCATCATTGACATACAAGTTGATCAACTCTATCAGTGTCCCTTCAGTTCTTCCATGAATCTGTTTTAGCAACTTCCAGCTGTTTGTCAGAACTTTGATGAGCCTTCTGGGCCCGTCCATGGTCCATATGGGGGATTGAAGTTCCACACGAGCGCTTGGTCATTTTAGGCTTTTGTTTCTGAAAATAAACAAAAATGAACTTTCCAAGCACAAGAAAACAAATAATAGACCCCACCACCCCCACCCCCCCCAAAAAATCTAATAAATAAAATTCTATTAAAAAAATAAAATAAAATAAAAAAAACAAGGTTAATATTTATGAGGCTCCTAATGTTCTGGATCTACAATAATTTAAATTAAACTTTTAACTTTTCTCCAAAATATTCAAGTTGTTAAAAATGGGGTGGGGGTGGGGGGGAGAATAACACTTTTCAAAAAAAAATTCTTAAAATTCAGATTTGTCTGACCCCTGACCTTTCATTCTAGACAGTTCTGTCCCACCTATGAAAATGTTTGGACACCCCTGACTTACTGCAGCATGTGAACAGACCGATCAGAAACTGATGGATCTAATGGAGCGACTGCTGGGTCAACATTCAAACTAGTCTTTTTGTCTTTCGGGGATTTGGATTTGAACTACTTCAGCATAAATTTAGCTATTCCAGAAATTCATGTATCAAAAACTTCAGCTAATTTAGGACATGGCGGCTACAACTTTTAGTTTTTTATAACTTGCGTACACTTAGAAAATTTAAACTTTATTTGCAATTTTTCACGATGAATGCATTAAAATCTGTTTAAAACCTTGAAAAACTTTGTGCTTGATGAAATCTCCAGCATCTATCCATCCATCCATCCATCCATCCATCCATCCATCCATCCATCCATCTTACTAAGTTTTGCCTTGCTTTCTTGTCTCTTTAAGCTTCCTGTTGTCTCTTTGTGAGTGAATTTTATCATCTAATGTATAATTATTGTCTCCTTATGAATCATTTTTGTCTCCTTATGTGTCCAAGTTTTTTAAACCTTTTTCTGTATCCATTTTTTTTTTGTCTCTTTATGCATCCTTTTTGTCGTGTCATCGTAAGAGTCTAAATCATCATTTTAGTCTCTTTATGAAACCTTTTAGTTTTTTTATGACTTTTTTGTTCTTTTAGTTTCCTTATGTCCATTTATGTGTCCTTGTGCATCATTTTGTGTCTTATTTTAGGACTTTTTTATTCTCCTTACTCATCCTTTTTGTCTCTTTATGTACAGTTTGCTTTATCTCTCTGTTCTACTTTTCGTATCACTTCCTCATTTTTTTAAATTAAAAATTTCAACTCACATTGACAATTCTGTTACATTTTTCATAATTTTTACCTTTTTCAGCAGCAAACTCATACAGACCTCAGCACTGATGCAGCATTTTCACAGAAAATACTAATTTTCAGCGTTTATTTGTGGGCTTCATTTCAAAGTTCAAATTGTGGAGAATCATAGAACTATAAACCGTTATGTCCCCAAAGAGTTTAGGTCAAATATGAAATAATTTTCTTACAGCCACTGTTCATCAGAGCAGCTCACTGTGCTGGAGGACATGATCATGACACATGATGTTCTTTCTTTTCTTTTCAGCACATATACAACAAAGCTGACTGCACCTTCAGAGAGCAGATCTTGGCAGACGGGTACAACGTCTACACTTCTGATCATCACGGAGTCCCGCTCAGTCTGGGGACCAACCAGCAGAGGCTGCAGGGTGTAGACCGAGGTGTTCCAGCTCTGGCTCGGTTTCTCCCCAGGATAAACACCCTCCCACAGACCATCTTTGTGCCAGATGTCCCTGACCAGCCGGGTACGGCACAAACAGAGGAGAGTGTGGATGTGATGGACTCGTTTGGAAAGCTCTCTCAGATCATCCACAGCCCGAGCTTCCAGAAGAGATGAGGCAGCAGCTCTGAGACGACTGTGACGGAATGTGTCCTGGAGTATCCGTGAGCTGGTCCCTGACCGGGAGTCTGAGCGGCCTGCACATGGGACGGTTGTGGTCAGGACTCTGCAGTCAGACGTGACTGAACAGAACACAAGATCAACGTCCTGCTGAGTGGAGACTCTGTGGTGTGATGCTCTGTCCTGCCTTTTCTTAGCACAACATTTACCGATCCAGTTCTACTCCTTTAAGGAAGCTGAGTGACACACAGAGGAGTGTGTTGTTCTAAACTGAGAGAGGGCGGCCGATGAACACTCGTGTCAGGATTGAACATCTCACATTTATCTGATCATTGAAGATACAATAAAAGCTGCTGGGTCATTAAAATAACGATACGTGTGATAAACTGCTCTAAAGAGGAGAAATTCTTCTTTAAGAGCTTTGTAATATAAATGTAAATGGGTTGTAAATATAGTTGTTTTCTCCTTATGAAACTCTTGTAGTCGGGTGGATCTTGTATTTATTTGGTTATTTAAATGTAAAGGCTTGTGTGCTCAGTTTACCTCTTTGTTCTTAGCTATGACGTGTGAAATGTACATTTTGTAAATGCATTTAATTAAAGTTTTTATACTGAAGCATCTTTCATTTTTCTTATCCTTATAGGATTGGTAGAACCTCATAAACATAAATTTTAGAATGATATTAAAAATCTGAATATATATTTTAATTACAATTAAAAAATAAATCTCAAAATCTAGACCAATGTCCTCAGCATGAGGATGCAGGGTGTCTGGATGCTATATATATAATCATTTCTATTAAATGTAAGTTTAGGAGAGGACAAGCTTCAATACATTAAGTGACATGGCTTTACTCAGTAAGTAATATAAACTGTAAATACATACATACATACCAGTGGTGTGCTCTACATTTTATAGTGGGTATACTGTGCTTGGAAACCAAAGAACACCGGTTAGTACAATGTAATCGTCAATTTAATTAGATTTTTAGGCATATTGAACATTTCAGAATTTATCTGATGCTTATATTTCAATAAATGCACAACTGTAAATATTATAATTACTTTTTTACTTTTTGTTACTTTATTTTTGTACCCTTATTGCATGCTTTTGCATTTCTTGTTTGTCTGTTTTTTGTTTTTTAGTGAGTCATATCGTTTCTTCTCATCCTGAACATTTCATTGCATTGCTATCCTTGTGTTAACCTTGCATATGACAAAAAAAAACCACTACTTGAACTTGAACTATTAAACACTTTGTACAAAATCAGTTTAGTCACATCCAGATATACACTGAGCACTACTGTTTGCTAACACCTAGCATAAAAATGGCTACGAGACGTGGGATTAGCTTACTTACTGCTTTTGTTTGACATCGTACTTTGTACAATCGTAAACTTCTGTGATAAATCCACAATGCGAAATATTATTCCTCAGTATGTGATGATATGCAAAAAGCTTGGAAAACGCTAGTAGCCAAGGTTGTTTGTAGCTACTTAGCTTCTTTGCACGTCAGCGCCAAAACTCCAGAAGATGCTGATTGGTTGAAATGAAAGTTCACCTGTGATTTCATAGGTTGAATTTTTTACCTCTTCGTAAACTTCCGATGTCGCTACACAAATGTCTCTACTAAAATTAATTAGCTCACAAACTAATTAATTTTAGTAGAAACTACTAAATGTGTTTGCTACATTGTACTGAGGTTCTAAGTTAACACAACTAAACATGTTTAGTTTCTTCTTTGTGTAAAAACTAGAATGGTTTAAGGCAACTGGTTTCCACTCGATTTTCTAGTAAATTTCACTAGTTTGGGTTAAGAGTGTAACAATACAGCATAGAGGGAACATTACTTATCATTGGGCACTTTTAATTGGTTAAGAGGAAATTCCCAAGCATTTTTTGTGATTATACGCCGTATAGTCGCGTATCACTTAGACTACAGCACTGATACACACATACATACGTACGTATATATACATGCATGCATTCAACCTTTATTTATACAGGTGAATCCCATTGAGCCTCGGGAACTCATTTACAAGAGAGACCTGAAAATACCTGAACATATATACATACATAAATTAAAGTAGACCATTGCATAGCAAGAGGTGATTCCTCAACTCCTTAGCTGGTTGAAGCAGATGGCCGCTTGTCCTGAGCCTGGTTCTGCTGGAGGTTTCTTCCTGATAAAAAGAAGTTCTATTTCGTATAGGCTTCGCCCTTTAAGGCTGTCGCTTAGTGGGTTTATCCCGATATGCAAAGCATCGCACTGAAAAATTTAGTCCACGCCCACCTGCTGTGTGGGCCCCACCCGGTCCGTATAAATTAATTACGTTAAGAGCGGGAAATCGGCTCCCATTTTTTCTTCAGCAAGCTAATAGCACTGTCAGAAGAACGAAGAAGGAAAGTTGTGTAGATGACCAACCTTTGTTAAGAATGCTTGGCCCGGTAGTCGACCTCCGGTTGTCCGGTGAGTTCTCCTCCCCGAGGAGAAGCTGACGAGCAGTCTTGTTTCAAGGTAAGCGCCGAGGAATATTTCTCAGTGACAGGTCGCTACACGCTGGACAACACCATCTTGTAATTTTCCTCTTATCGCCGACCCTCGGAGCGAATCGGATGGTTCCTCCGGGACAGGCGGTGCTCAGCTGCAGCCCCCCGCTGCTCATTCCCTCCTGGAGAGCGTAGTGTCAGTGGAGGGGGGCTGAGTGAATGCTCACCCCATCCCACCTCGTTTCGCATCGGCGATCACACCGCTCACGGCCGACGGCGCCCTCAGGGGTTGCCCGGCGTAACCCAGGAGGCGACTGACATGAAGGGACCTTTTTTACGTCCCACGCCTTTCCCGCCAATCCGGATGATCCGGCGGGAAGGTTGTTTTTACTAGGTTCCATTCCGGCTCACCGTCTTGATCCATCTGGCCTCGTTTTCCCAACAGGACGTCCTACGGGCGAGGCCACAGACAGTTTTTTCCTGGTAGATTGGGGGGACCGGTCTCCACAGTCCGCACCCATCTCCAGAGCAGGGGTTCACCAAGCGGAAAGTCCCTCAGTGCCCCCTGGAGCCAAGCCTGACGGAGGCTTCACTGGAGCAAGATGTCGAGGTGGACCAGCGTCCCGTGCCTCCGGTTAGCGTAACCGAGACGGTGACACCGCTCTCCAACTGAGCTCACCAGCATGTGTTCCACCCCCCCCCCCCCCTCACACACAGATCAGAAGTAGCGTCTTTTCATTTCCTCTGTCCTGTGCGGGCGTTGACGTGTTACATAACACGCACAGCTGCAATGCGTCAACATTTGTTTGTGCATTATAGAGATACATCTGCAGGTCGACCGTTATCCACCCAGCGCTTGTCACATTGGCTGTGTGAGGCCATTTCTGAAGCCTATCATCAGATTTAGAGCCTCGTGTCAACCTCAGAGCACACTCGACCAGGGGTATCGCATCTTAGACTGCTTTGCATAATGGTATGACAATGCAGGACATTTTGCAATGCGGCCGCGTGGTCAACACCCTGCTCATTTATTCGCTTTTATCTACGTAATGTGATGGCTCGTTCCATGACACATTCTGTCTTTAGTGTTTTACAGAATGAATATTGTTGTTTCATGGAACTCCGTTTTACTCACATCTGTCTGCATGCATTACAGTATGAGATGTTATCAGTCACAAGTTGTGATTGTTATTTTGGTTCTATTGTCACTAATCGGTTCATGACTATCGTTACTAATCAGTTCATTTGATTAATAATCAGCTCTCCTGTTATTATTAATCTGTTCATACGGTTCAGCCGTAAACCGGTAGGTTCATGGCTCTTTTCAGCTTTTTTCCCTCCCCGTTGAAGTTTTCCGGGGCGTTCATGTACTCAGAACGCATAGTTACACAACATGCGTCTGTGCATGGCACACATAATTACGCAATGCGTAATTACGCACATGGGGAGCTGAGTGACAAGACGTTTTTTGGGCAAGCTTCTGCTTCATACGGTGTTCGAATGGACCCAGTGAGGCGAGGACAACATCCGCTTCGCCCTTAACCCACTAAGCAACAGCCTTAAAGGGTGAAGCCTATATGAAATAGAACGTTGGTTACGTACTGTAACCCCAGATTCTATGAGTATAGGCGTAGCCCTTTAAGCGTCGGGCCTCACTGGCTCCTAAATGGCTGAAGAAAAAGCTATTTTTGGGAGCCAATTTCCCGCTCTTAACGTAATTTATACGGACTGGGTGGGGCCCACACAGCAGGTGGGCGTGAGTGGGGTCCTTCATGATGCAGGTGGCCCTCTTCCTGCATCTGGAGGTCTAGATGTCTGTGATGGTGGGGAGGCTGATTCCAACAGATTTCTGTGCAGCCTTCACCACTCTCTGCAAAGCTTTTCTTTCTGCAGCTGTGCAGCCTCCATGCCACACATTGATGCTCGAGCACAGGATGCTCTCCACTGCACACCTGTAGAAGGAGGTGAGGACTGAGCTTCCCAGACCAGCTCGCCTCAGCCGTCTGAGGAAGTAGAGTCTCTGATGAGCTTTCTTGATCAGGCTGGTGGTGTTGTTGCTCCAGCTGAGGTTGTCATTCATGTGTACACCCAAGTACTTGTAACTGGAGACCACTTCCACCGCAGATCCTCTTATGTTCAGGGGGGTGTAGGTGTTTTTTGTTCCTTCTGAAGTCCACAATCATCTCCTTTGTCTTTGTCTAAGCGACAGCCTTAAAGGGCTACGCCTATACTCATAGAATCTGGGGTTACAGTACGTAACCAACGTTTTTCCTTTCCACTGTTGCCATTGTGCTTACTCAGGATGGGAGACTGTGATGAAGTGAAGATTCAACAAGTCTGCCGGCTTCCTTCCTTAGATAGATAACTTTTACTAATTTGGCTTTTTTATGTATGTATGTGAATGTTTTCGTAGTGTTCTGAGACAACTTCTGTTGTGGTTTGGCGCTATATAAATAAACTGATTTGTTAAATAACTTGTATATGACAACTACATGACAATTCTGAAATTCTGTTCTGGC